AAAAAAAAAAAAAAAAAAAAAAAAGAACTCATTTCCCTAAATCAAAAGGGATCTTTTTATACAAATCAACAAGACAAAAAAATCTAACGGAAAACTGGGCAAAGAATAGGAAAAGCAAATGGTTATGAAAACGTACATAGTCTCGGGATAGAGGAAATTAAAGTCGTCCTAAGATACTGTTTTTTATCCTATCAGAATGGCAAAAATCAAAGTTTGGCAGAGGTGTTTTAAAGGGTGTACGTCAACCAGCATTCTCATCTAACCAGCTGCTGAGAGTGTAAGATGACAGAATCTAAGAGGATAACATGAAAATATCAAAAGTACAAATGCATACATCCCATGAAACAGTAGTTCTTCTAGGACTTTATCTTATATACATGTGTGCAAATACACGCATACACACCAGTGATAAATAGTGGTACAACAACAGAGTGGAATATTCTGCAGCTAGAAAAGAATTATAAACTTTATGGACTCATACAAAATTATCTACAAGATATATTAAGAGCATGAAGTTCAAAAGAATTGTAGATTATGCTACATACTTCTATAAAGTTTAAACAAAAAAAAGCCAAAGAGAAAAACCAGATGTATGTACTTGCTTGACACAGACTATCTGTAAAGACAAAAAAGGAACTGGTAGTATTGGCTTTATCAAGGGAAAACAGGGTGGCTGGAAGAATACATATTCTGACACTTTCTAAATTTTGTATCTTGTAGACATACAACCAATTTCAAAAAAAAAAAAACTAAATTAGTTAATTCATAAATGTTACAAGAAAAACGCCACATATATTGTATGATGCCATTTACATGAAATGTCCAGAGTAGGCAAATCTACAGAAAGTAGATCCATAGTTGACAGTGAAAAGGGAGAGGAATAATTGGGACAATTGCTAATTAGTATGGGGTTTCTTTTGGGGGTGATCGAAATGTTCAGGAACTAAAAACCACTTAAATGTATCCTTTAAAACGGTGAATTTTATGTTATATGAATTATATCTCAATAAAATGTTTTAAAGAAATCTCAGATTGTTACATTCAACTAAAGTGATGTGCTAAAATAAATTACCTAAATATTCTACAAGATATAAAGCTATCACCAATTAGCTTTTATACAAAAAAGGAAAATATTACATCAGTACTTCTGTTTAAAGTGGGTCAGTAATTTTGACTAATCAGATTGAGCCACTTATTGGTGCTCCTCATTATAATTAAAAGTCTAATTTTACTCTTCACCAGAACTACTAAAAAGCAGCAAAAGCATCTGATCTGAATTTCACATCTTCTTACAGGGCTGGCCACATGACCGCCTCCCCAAAAAAGTGGGGGGACTCCAAAACTTAAAATATTCATTAGCCTGAGGATAATATTTTAAAAATCAAGGCTTTAAAAAAGGTTGGCTATTGTTTTGTATTATGGCTAAATGTGAAAATAGAAACACACTTTCTGACACCACTGTACTAATACCCAGGAAAGGTGAAAAAAGAATCTCTCCTCCGATTTGGCGTTTAAGAGATAGATAAAATTTAGAGTGATTCTTTTCAAAAGCTTTCTCAGGCTTAAGGCAATTAAGTTTATTGGTTTCCTAAAACTACCAAGTTTAAGTAACACCTATCAGAGACCGATAAAACAAAATTTAAACAGACTGAGAAGTCACAAATAAAGTGACTTCATAAAAATAGTAAAGTTCAGAAAATTCACAAAAACCAATTCCTCTAAAATGGTGTATATATCAAATAACACAAACTCCTAATCCTGTATTTAGTCCATAAAGCTCAAAATTTTGTTACAAATCAAGTATTTTTATAAGCAATTATGCAAAAACACTCTCATGAAGTGCATTTAAATATGGCACACAGCAAAGAAGTATCTGAAAAAATTTTTTAGCTATCCCAAACCTATGAAGACATTATAGGGTTCAGAATATCCTAAACATTATCTTCTATAATATTAAATTCTTGATTTTCAGATCATTTTTACAGGTAAAACTGGGGCAAAGAAGTTTTAACAAATCACTATCCTTTAAAAATTAATCTATGAAGTATCAAAGATTCTACTGACAGAAATCCAGTTTAGTGTTAGACACTGTACTGAAGTAAACTTCATACTTACGTTATATATACACATTTCAAAATTTTCCTTTCATCTAAACAGAAAAATTAAGTGCAGAAGAGTCAGACTGCCCTATCTGCACTCTGTACACAGGTAACTAATAAATGTAAAAATGTGTATTAAGAGGGAAAAAAAGTTAGAACTTTCAGACTTTTGATTTGTACAAGGTCTTTTTTTAATCCTCCAGTCAAGTTATTCCAGGAGTTGATCAAAATGTATAAAACCAAAACCCTAATTTACGAACAAAACAATCTCTATCTTGAGCCATACATTGCTACTTGGTTTACAAACAAGTAATAAAATTTTATTCCATAACAATCTTTAAGCACAGATTTCACTTCACTATAAGCAATATGCCTATGCTTTTAGAATACTATATATATTGGATTTTCTAAAGAAAGGATAGTCAATTCAGCGAATTTAGCTGTTTCAGACACAGAAATACCACTCTAAAGTCTAAGATAACTTTAACCAATTGCAAAACTCAAGTTACTTTAGGAAGAGCTAGGCTACTCATGAAACAATAAATCTCCTTCCAGCAAGATTCTAAAAATACTCTGTGTTTGGCTCTCTGAAAGCATTAAGGAAGACCACAGTTTTGGTACATAGATATAACTTAACATTCAAAAAAAAAATCTCAGTTCAGCTTTTCAAGATCAAGCAGTTACCTACATAAAATAACTATAAAAATGACCCGAGGAGGTAAGTTTAGTTGTGGATGGGAAATACTCTAACATTCTGAAAATGTCAACGTTTTGAAGGTACAGGCACTCACACACCAACACACAA